CTGCAAGAAGTTGGCAGTGGATGGAAAGTAGAGTTGGATGGAGCACTTATTCCTCTGACAGCTTTCCTCAGGTGTATGCATTAGTAGTGGCTGGGTCATTCCCCTGGAGGGTATAGCTATTATCTGGCAGATATATCCTTTCTACAACTATTGTTCTTCCAGAGTTTCAGAAGAACTGGCCACCCTGCCCATGGCCATGTAACAGTTCTTTGGTATTGGCCAAGCCTTTGTAAATGGTCCTTTCATTAAACAACTCAGTGACCTTAGTGAGAATGTCTTATCTTTTCTCAATGACTCTGAATTGCACAGAGCAATTTACAAGTAGCTCATGAGAGAGGTGATAAAGGTTCGTATTAATTAACCATTGTAGATATTACAAAGAGAACATGTTTTTGAAATTATGTCCCAGACCTACTCGGCTGTCTTACTGCATGATCATCATCCATGAATACTGGAACAGCTAGTGGCAAGAGTGGTTGAAGTAAACATCACCACCTTTTGTACTGCTTTCTGCCTAGGAAGGGAGTCCTAATATGGGATCACATATAATGACTGTTTTCCCTGGAGTGAGGCAAAGGCTATTTACAAACTCCTTGGAAGCTCTCTCTGGGTTTCTGTGAATAATCTGTTGGAGGGTCAGCTGGTGCTGTGGAATCAGAGAGCTGGTTAGTTAGCCTCTCGGGAGATGTTACCAGGATGGCTGGAGATCAGGAGAGCTGCTTATTTTCATAATGACCTTCAGGAATTAAATAAAAATACAATGAGTGCCATAGATTAGGAAGAACAAGCCAATTAAAAGCACAACACGCCTTCGGGATTTTTTAAATTTCTTTTCCAGGAAGCTGAAAGGCATCTGTGGCCACCAAGACAGGATGGCAGTCTACCCAGAATTACTGATGAAGGCTGATCTTCTCGCTTGGCTTTTGTGGGATGGTTGGGGGCATTTGAGCCTGTTGAATATTTCACGAGTTGCAACCCAGGGGGGAGAAGAGAGAAAGGTGAAAAGGCAATCCCTGTGTTTCTTTATGATTCCAATATAAAACCAAGCTATGTGGGGTGGGAGGGAGGCAGGCGCTGGAGTCAGCCTACCGCTGGAAGGCATGGCACACCAATTCTCCCACTTTAATATCTGCTGTTTCATTTTATATTCATCATGTCAGCATAATCTGCCTTTATGGGAATCGTCTTGGTTCCCGACCAAATGCATTTAGTTCCTCTTTTGCTTTAAGTTTGATTGTAATATGACTTGAAGACTTCAATGAAATGTTTATGTGGAAGGACTAGGGAAAGAGAAAAGGGAAAATGCAGTTGAAAAATCAATCAGCAGGGAATTTCAGGACTGGCTTTGGTCATGCTACTGTTTCTTTGACCTGTTTTTAATGGACACAGGACTGGCTCTGTGATCAAGTGTACATTGCTGGTTTCCAAACACATGCCTGACAGAATACATGCTTTAAAACAAGCATTCAAAGCCCTTATGTCTGTGTTGGAGCTTCATTTCCAATCTGACTTTCTGTTGCCCTCTTGCATGAATATGAAACTCTGTGCCTCTGGGATACACAGCTGATCTCTCCTGAGGAGCATTAATTTATCCATTCTCCACAGTACTCATACCACCATGTTTTGGGAGTAATTCTTGGTCTACAAGCTTAGAAGGTCATGTCCCACTTTGAGTTCCAAACAGACATTTACTTATTCTTTTTAAATTCTCTGATGAGACTTAACTACTCTTTGAATTTATTTTTACTACCTCCACCATTTTATTATGGACATGCATGTGTATGAATATGTATATGCATACTCTTATATATTTTAACAATTCAGTACTTATTGAGCACTTATTTTGTGCCAAGCACTTTTCAAAGTGCTTAAAAATGGCAGGAAATAAGACATGTAAGTTTCTTGCTCTCCTGGAGAGACAGACAATAAACACATGTTCAAGTAAATACATACAATATATTTCTAATAGTGACAAGTGCTGAAGGAAGTTCTTGTAAAGGGGATAAAATAGAGATTAGATGTATTCAGAGAGGAATACTTTAGCTAGAGTGGTCAGGCACAGACTTTCTGAGGAGGTGTTATTTAGACAGAGGCTAATGCTGAGAAGAAGCCATCTTGCAAGCTCTGGGAGGAAAGTGCCAGGAATAGTTCACAGAAAGTACAGTGCCCTGAGATGAGGGAACTGGAATGTTTGAGGGACAATTGTAAGGCCTACAAGGCTGGAGCATGTCCTGAAAGGGCTACAGTAGGAGATAGGCCAGATAATGCACTATCTTGAAGAGTATGCATGTGTGTAGGCTGTAGAATAAGCCTCAGGAATAGTAGACTCGGTAGAATTTCTAGTGCTAAATGACTCTAAGTTCCCTAAAGGCAAGGGTATATTCCATTTTATTCCATATTCTGAGCTGCTAAATGCAATTCAGTAGGTCCTTGAATGAATAAACAACTGCATGACAAATGAATGAATGAGTGAATGAATGATCAAAGCCTTCGGCTTCTGCTAAAACAGTTTTCTCTTTGCAGTTTCATGCTCCCCCTCCTGCTGCCCCAACAACAGTTTCTTTTCTTTGTAATAGAGTAAGTCCAGAGCTATTCTCTATGATTCAATATTTACTGTGTTTCACACACTGTTATTATCATTTAACGTTTACTGTCTGCTGACTGTGCACTCATCGCTGTAGCAAACAAAGAGCAAAATCTAGTTTTGTTTCATGGACTAATTTAGTCAAGGAAAAGGAGACATTGCAAGTGCAACTGGCATTGTAGAAATTGTGTTGACTGGAAATCCACTGGGTCCAGATGAGAACAGATTCAGCAATGACCTTGACTAAGTTGCCAACCTTTAGTGACTCTGTTTTCAAATTGGGACATGGGCATGGAAAACCTCTTTCGTGGTGGGATTTCAGCCACAAGTTGGACAGAGCTCCAGGAGAAAGGAACTTGGATTCCCACTAACCTCCCTGGGCTTACTCTGTCTCTGTCTATATCAGGCTACGTAAGCCAGATGTGGCTTGCCTTGGGCTTTCTTTTGGTGTCAGTCCCCAGGACCTAATACATTTAGTGCCTGACCAGCCTTTGTAAGATACTGAATTAGACACTATTGTTTCTTGGTTCCCTGGACCTTTGGTTCTGGACTATGATGCATTAAGACAAAAATGAATGAAGTTCTAAGCAAGGCCATTTATCATAATATCTATACCTTATTGTGGCCCACTTGGCTGGCTGCAACAGAAGGTATTGTCAGGGTCCTGTATGCTGAGGCTGGGAGGTGAGGTGGTGAAGGAGCAGAACACCCCAGCCAAGGAAGAAGAGATAGTGCTTGGAAAAGTTTAGCCAGTGCCTTTCACCTGGGCAACACAGTGAGCCTTAGGGTCCTTGGGAGTCCATGGCTATAAAAGCTGATGAATTTCTGGGATTATCACCAGACTTGTTCAATCTATCATGCAGCAGGGGAAGCTGGAGTCTGTGTACTTCTATACTGATAACTTACTATGTCCTGTCTATTCTGTCTTTTACTTGGAATGAGGTGGGAGGCCCTGGAAGGATTTATAGTAGTAGTCAGTATGGTGAGATGACTTATGTTGAGATTCTTCTGGCATCTGGTTGAGAGTAGACAGGAGGGACAAGGGTGAAAGGAGAGAACCCAAGTTAAGGGGCCTTTGCAGGAAGCCAGAAAAGATAGGATGGGACCATGGTCTAGGAGACAGAAGGAGGAGTTTAGCAAGGTTCAATTTTAGAGGATTTTGAAGTATTTCCTGACATATTGAATGAAGAGTGGAAGAAAATACAAGCAGTCAAAGATGTGTATAGGTTTTTTTCAGAGTAGCTGAAGGGTGAATCAGATTCTATCCATATTAATTACAATGATGATGATAAATCAATAGCTAATTTAAAATTTCATAGCTAACTTTTTTCTTAGCACTTATTAAGTGCCAGACATTCTTCCCCTGAGGGTTGATTTTTTATTGCAAATTTCCAAGAGTTAGAAGCTGTTGGGAATGGGTGATACAAGGATAATTCAGTAGAATTTGGTCAGTAGATATCTCATTTCTCCAAGGTGACTCTTTCAGTGTCACCAGACAATTAGGAATAGGTAGAATTGATTGGATAAGGAGAACTTCTAACTTGGCCTGCCCATCAGTCCTCCTTTGTGTGTCTGTGTATGTGTGTTTGTGTATTTATGTGTGTGTGTGTGTGTGTGTGTGTGTGTGCAAATGCATGTGAATTCTTTGGTGCCTATTGAAATACTGTCTTAAGATCATCTCTGTGTTTCGGAAGGAGGGCCCAAAGTTCCAAGTGTCAGATACTCCACTCTTTTAACAATTTACTAGAAAGTTTTAGCTTCCCTTTAGGACAATAGAGGAATGGGGTGGTGTTTTTTCAAGCATTTTTTAAGCAATAGAAACTTTTATGCTAATGCTCTTTTGCTTGGAAGTACAGTACACATTTTACCAGAAAAGGATCACTCATGGACACAGAGAAAGGCTCAGAATAACTCAAAGCTCCTTTTCCATGCAGGATGGCCCTAGGTATCTAGGCTGAGCTGAATGCTATCTTATCTTTCCAGCTCTGAGCTCTTGTCTTGAGGACTTCCAGCTCAGCTATTAAGGAATTCACACCTGGACTCCTACTCCTCTCATGGGTTTCCTCTCTTTATTTTCTTCTAGTTACATATCCTCAGAAGAATAGAACATTGTCACTCATTTGCTTAGTTTGATACCACTGTTGGAGTAGAATGAGTTATCTTGCATGAGGTCACAAAAAAGCATGCCAGGCACACTAAGTTCAAATCTTGCTTCTGCCTCTCTTTCACTTGGGGAAAATTTTGGCCACACTTGTCCCATTAATAAATGAACGTGATGATCCTTGACTCATAGAGCTGGTGTATGGAAAGGCATCCTGACACAAATAAATGCCATGACTCTGTATGACTCCTATCCTCCCCAGAGCACCAGAGCCAGGCATGTAGCTTACCCAATACCTTGGTTCTTGTCTTGCAGAGATGTCTGGCACAGCAGCGGACATCTCAATGGTGCACTGGAGACAGCAGTGGCTGGAGAATGGCACATTGTACTTCCACGTCTCCATGAGCAGTTCTGGACAGCTGGCCCGGGCCACCGCCACCACACTCCAGGAGCCCTCGGAGATCGTAGAGGAGCAGATGCACATCCTCCACATTTCTGTAATGGTGAGTGCAGGGCGCGCAGTGGGGGTTGGGAGGGAGGCAAAATGGTGGAGAGATGAAAGGAGGCAGAGAATTGTCTGCAGATGGCAAGAAATAGCTGGCCAAGTGCAAGAGGTTATAATGATTATCAGTAGGTCATGTGGATTCCACTGTGTCACCTGGACTGATGCATACCTATCCATCATCTGTCAGCTGTGACAAACTAATTGTGCTTCACAGAAGAAAATAAAGGGTCTCCAACTCTTTGGCCTTTTGGCCGACATCTCTGGGAATAACTGTTTAACATCTGTCACGTGTTTAGCCTGCTTTGCCAAGGGCTGAGGTTCAATGCTCCAAAATACAGTTAGCCTTTCCAAGAATGACTGAACAAACAAAATTGGAACAAAATGGGAATGATCTGCCTTTTCCTAAGTGCCCTGATGTGTCATGTGCTCTAAGCCTCACAACTACTACATGATGGCCACTGGAAATGGCCTGGAGTACTCAATGCAGTCATCTACAGAGGCCCCTCCATTACATTAGAGTTATGAATACTGTGGCAGAGGGGAAAAAAACCTGCCCAATGTCACATAGCTAGTAAGAGATGGAGCTACTTGTCTAGCTACAAAGCCTGAACTATGTCCTGTACATCCTATTTTCTCTCAATTGAAGAATTTCTTGAGTATCTAACATGTGCCAAGCACTATGTTGGGCATACTTATAGAAATTATTTCATTATATTCTTGCTAAGAATCATAAAATATGGCATGCCACTGCTCTATTGGAGATAAAGTTGTGGGCACAGAGAGGCGAAGTGGACTTCCAGTTCTATTGCTCCCATAACAGAGTCCTGTGACTCTGTTGTGTCCTCTGAGAAAGCTACTAGGGTTTAAATCCATCAAGTGGTAGTCTAAAAGGTATATAATCTCATATTAATGATTCATTTTGAAGTTTTAATTAATAGTATTACATGGTAAATAGAAAACCAGTTAACAAAAAATCCGGTATGCAGAAAGTATAGGTGGTAATGGTCAGGATGAGAGGTAATAATAGCAAAATACCTGCTACTCTGTGACATTTTATACCACTCTTACATCATGTTCTCTAGCATGGCTCTACCAGATCTATGAAGGTAGGTAATCATATCCCCAACCTATTTAAGAACAAGGTATAACTCAGAGAGATGAAGTGACTGGTGTAAGTGCTACCTCATACGTTTCAGTTCTTCCTTCCATTAAGAGTCAATATTTATTGAGATTCCACAATAGAACAGACCTTTGGATTGGGTCTCTATCCCTTGCTTCTCTTCAACTAACAGTACGCATTAGACATTATGATTAGGGCTGAGTAAGATCTTGGAAATTTTCTCTTTTTGGAAAACCATACACATACCCCATCCAGATAGCAACGTTAAATTTGGACCTAACGCATGCTTATCACGTAGAAGAACAAATCAAGGCCTTTGTGTTATTCATGGAGTGAATGTGATAGACTTTTTCCATATATATATTTAGCAAATGATGCAGCCACACGCTAAGACAACTTTGGGGTGCAAATTTGTAAGCATCATGTCAGGGTACTTGTTGGGTTCCTCATAGGGTTAGGGGAACCATTTGGTGTTAAGAAGAGTTAAGGTGTGCAACTGCTCTTCTGCCTTTACTGTTTGAGAAGAGACTCAGTTTTGATTAATATTTATTAGGTATTTTCTGTGTTTTACATAGTGTTTACTTACACACGTTCTTCCAATAACCCAGTAACCTACAATGAATTATCTCAATTATAAATGAGCCATGAATGTGCCTTTTTCTGCCTCCAGGTCCAGTATGGGTTCCACTAAATCAGACTGTTGCCCCAGGATAGTATCCCTTGATTTTCTTTTTTTCTTAGTGAGTTCAGATGGAAAGGAATAGCTCACCACAACCCAGGTGTCACTAAAATTCTCTATAACTCAGGATTTGACTATAATGCAGGAAATAACAAAGCCAATACACTTCAGACCCTCTCTGCCCCAAAGGGTTACATCTGTTTCCACTAATCCCACACACACAACCTTGGGGGACAGTCATGTCTTGGAGACACTGAACCCAACAGTGGCTCTTTATGGAAAGTAGCCTCTTGGACTAGCTACACTGATGATGTTCCTCACTCTCTAAAAGTAGGAGGTAGGCAGGTTATAACTGTAGCCTCTAGAGCTCAAGTATCTGGGTCTAAACTGCTTCTGTCCTACCTCCTTTTCTTGGTAACCTTGAGCAAATTATTTAACCCCTCTCTCTACTTTGTGTTTTCTATCTGTAAACTGAGGAGTACTAATACTTGTATATTGAATCCTTTGATCAGGGGAGCTTAGATTATAGGAGCATTTGCTTTATTATTAAGGGCACTGAAGTCAAAAACTTCAAGATGTTCTAATTTGTTATATTCTTTCACTTCATGGGAAAACTGAGGTCCACAACAGGCTGGGACTTGTCTGCAATTCCTCAGGGATCAGCAGGGATTGAGAAGTCATCGGGTCTCTCTGTGACCAAGACTCTGTGCTTGTCCTCTTGGCTACAGGCAACTCAGCAATAACAAAAAGAGTGTTTGCTTTTCCCTTCCCCAAGTAACCATTCAATTAAGATGGCTGAGATATGCATTCCCATTTCACAGATGAGAAATCTGAGACTGAACAGATTATTGACTTGTCCATGGCTACATGGGTACCAAAGAGGCAATTACAGCACCAGGTATCCCTCAAATTCCAAACCCTTGTCATTTGGCTACTGGATGAGCCACCTTTTCATCTTTGATGAAGATCTGAGGCAGTTTGTGACAAGACCTTCATCCAGTCAAATCTCAAAGAAGTGTGGTGGCAAGGGCCCTCGATCTCTGTCTCCTTTATGCAGCACAAACATCCCTCTTGCCCATGCAGGAAAATCAGTTCCAGTTCAGGCTCTGAAACCTTCTTCAATCCATAACTACTTGGGTGGAATCCTATGCACCTTAAGCTTGTTAAGCCCTGAATTGCACATTTACCTGGTCCCACAAGGGTGCATCTTCTGACTGTTAGTATCCCAAAGGATAATACAAGGAGGAGGTACTCAACAAAGTTAAGTCAGGAAAAGAGAGTGGCCTATCATCTCAATTCCCCATGCCAGCTTCAGTTCCTGTGCACAGTTAGTTACATGTTCTCCTCTGTTGTTCATGCAGTAGGATGCAGGAATGAAAGGAGAGGTTTGGAACTTAGATGCGCTGACTCTGAACTCAGTCTTTTTCCTTCCTTGACTGGAACTCTGACTCTCTCTGAGCCTCAATTTTCTTATCTATAAAACAAAACTGATCATATCAGTCTCACAGGGTTATTAAAAAGAACAGAGAAAACATAAATAGTAAGCAGTATCTGGTATGACACAGAGGGAGTACATCATCATAGTGGCTATTAATTATTTCCTTCACAACAATGTTTAAAGGACTCCAATCTAGAAGAAGACATTGTTTTGTTTTTCTTATTTTTGCTGCTCTATTGTTGCCTGATGTAGAGAAATAGTCATTATACTTGACATTTCTTTCGAATATTTACTATATGCTAGGCTGTTTTCCAAAGTTTGTTTTGCACAAACTGTCACATATAGTTCTCACAACAGATCTTAAGGTGGATACTATTTCTGAGATGAAGAACCAAAATGGTAATAAAGTAAGTATCTCTCCATGTGCCCTTAATCACACAAAGGTTAAATGGTAAAACTAGTATTTCACTCTATAAAGATTAACCCCAATGGTAAAACTAGTATTTCACTCTATAAAGATTAACCCCTGTTCTTTGTCTGCATGCTAGACTATCATTTTTCTTCTCTGTTACTGACTGAAATTATAAGATTTTGTAAGTGAATTCTTATAGACTCCAATTTATGTGGAATCCGTGGATATGTTTAGGGATTTATGATTTAGAAATGAACACTAAAGTTAAGCAAATTCTGTGTCACTAACTTTATGCCTTTGACCAAATCACCTATGTCATTTATAAAACTGGGATAGTAATACCCACTTCTTAGAGTTTTTTTCCTAAGTATCTAATGAGGTCACACTCACAAATGTTCTGTACAGTGAAAATAATGACTCCTATCGTTGAGAACTTTCTGCATGTCAGTCTAAGTGTAGCATGTGTATTATTCTGTTTAATTGCTATAATACCTCTGTAAGATAAGTACAGTTATCTTCCTCATTTACAGATGAGGGACCTGGGAGTTAGTGAGGTTTCACAGTTTGCTCATTCCTATCACAATAAGTGCTAAAGTGAGATTCCGACTCCAGCCTGTCCAAATTGAGAGTCTGTGCTGAGCTCAATTCTGCATGGCACAGTGCCTGACATTCAGTAAGTGCTCAGAAAGCAAAAGCTGTTATTAAAATGTTAGCTTTAGTGAGGGTCTACCGTGCCCGTTATTTATGGAGTATTCACTCTGGGTGCTCAAAACACTCGATAGAACTTGGAATCGTGTCAGTTAGGGAGAGAAGTATTGCTCATGCCAGCAGCCTCTCAATAGGAGAAAAGAAACCGAAAGGAAGCTGATGGATTTGTCTGCAGGTGCAGAGTCAGAGGAAGCTTTTGGCTTGAATCCTGTAGGTGCCTTTTACACTGTTCATCAGCAAAAGCTATCATGGGTGCTTTACTGTCTGCCAGCTCATTTTGAGATCTGCACACACAAATTGAATAGTAGGAAAAGAAGCACTTTGAATATTCTTACTTAGAAAGTGGGAAGAGTTTACCTGCTTCAGGTAGTCTTGAGGTAAAATGTAAAAACTCCTAGCAAATATGATCAGAACTTCTTTTCTCTTTTTTTACATTTAGATGTTTTGCCTTTTGTTATTATTTACACTGACCTTTTAAGATGTATTTTATTTTTGTGTTGATCAAAGTTTCTTTCAAAGAAAATGGTTATCACTGTGATTCAGAGGTTAGTCATCTAACTCTACTTTCATTTCATTTTGATATGGTATGTCTTATCTTAAAGATTCCCACAGAAGTTATTATAGAAACTGCTTAAGATCAT